AAAACATTAAGCTGGTCCAACATACACCTATCAGCATAAAATTCTCTGTAACTCATTGTATATAGATCACATCGCAGCTCTAAAAGAATCATCCTTATCTTTTTAAATACCAAAAATATTCCGTCTTTAATTTTAGTGATCACTTACCAATAGCTACAAATATTGTTTTTGCATACATAAATCTGTCAACCGTAATAAATAGTGTAATTTCAAAATATAACCATATTCCAAATTATGCATGGAATAACAAAAACATCATCGACATATATAATCATAATCTTTGTATAGCTTTTGATAACTACACTTTTAACGAGGAAAAAATGGAACAAGAGTTGATGCAAACATGCAAAATGATCAAAAAGGCTGCTTTATTTGCAGTTGCGCAGTGTTTTGAACAACGAAAAACCTGTATATATTCAAAACCGTGGTGGACAGGGGAACTTAAAAAATGCAAAGAACATCTTTCATTTAACTTTAAACAATGGCAAAATTCTAACTATAATAAATCACATGAATGCATAGCATACAAAAGATACATCCTTGCACGTAAAAACTTTCGAAAAAGCATAACAAAAAAATCCATGAAAAAACGATAAATATTGAAAATCTACGAACTAAAAATCCTCAAAAATTTTGGGACAATATTCGTAAAATTAAAACCAAAACGAAAACTCAGTTATTTACGATTAATAATTCGTAAAACATAAAAGATATTGTCAATGAGTTCAAACAACATTTTCGAACTCTACTCAATACTCCGCTCATTACAAATAACAACCATAATCCTCTTAAAATTCCGCCTCTAAGTAATAAGCCTAATTCACTAATTATTACATTAGCTGATACTATAAACTGCATATCACAATTAAATATTAATAAGTCCCCAGATAGCTTTGTAGTAACTGCTGAACACCTTAAAAACTATCATAATAACAACCTTTTTTTGTGGCTCTCTAAATTTTATAACAGCATTTTAACAAATGAAAAGGTACCAAAAGATTTATCAACTTCAACAATTATTTCACTTGTTAAGTCATATAAAAAATCTCTTAACAATCCAGATAATTACCTTGAAATTAGTATTTTCACCTATCTTTGCCAAACTTTTAGAATATCTAATTTTACTTTTATGTCCTACACGGTCGTTTAGATGTGGAAAGTTATTATACGCAAGCGCAGTGTCAAATTCAAATATTATAATTTTAAAGATGGTGACGGCCTTTAGGTACCAAAATTTTTTCTGAGTAGCAACAATATTTTTAAAGTTTTACTTAGTAGTTATTATTTGCATATTTTTGATAGAATGAAATAATAATAAAGATAATTGAATTGTTGATTCAAAAATGATAAAAACAATATAAAGATGTTTAAATATATAAAAAACTGTGATTCTCTGCTACATTTATCTGACTGTTAAAAGCGTGATTTGTTTACATTTTCAAAACTGTTTTTCTAAAAATCTGAGCGATACAATTTAATAATTTTTACTTTTTTATTTCGAATAGTCTTATCTTGATTTGAAATTGTTTTCAGATCTGAGTATTCAATTTTTTTCTGAACAAAAATAGAATTCACCCAACACTACTTTTGTAGATGTATGATACATTTATATTAAGGTATATAGCTAATATATATATATATATATATATATATATATATATATATATATATATATATATATATATATATATATATATATATATATATATATATATATATATATATATATATATACATATATATATATATATATATATATATATATATATATATATATATATATATATATATATATATATGTATATATATATATATATATATACATATATATATATATATATATATATATATATATATATATATATATAGACGGGTTTGAATTGTTTTGATTTTGTCCGTTAATGTACGCATGCGCACTATTTGGCAGTCAAAAAACTTTGTTGTTTATCTATTTTTTAGTGGATTTCGTATGAAACTTATGAAGATGTGGTCGAATTCTTCGTATTTTAATACATTAAACAAAAGTGATCAACTAGATTACAAGAAAAAATTGACATTAGAAAATAAGGAAACGTTGCCAGACCCGTATTCAATCGATAAACCTTATTGGAGTACAGATTTGACAAAAATACCAGATATATCTTGGGGTGACGTTTATAATTACCTTATCAATTCTACAAGTGAGTACACCCATGAAAAGCTTAAAGCTTTTAAGTCTCTTGAGGCCTATAACTTTTTTGTGTGTGGGCATGTTAATGACATTTATTACTATGAAGTTTCGAAAGATTGTGAATTCTGCTTTTTAAAATCAAAGGTTGGAAAATAAATTTTAATGCATTTCAATTTTATATAAATATATATATATATATATGTATATATATATATATATATATATATATATATATATATATATATATATATATATATATATATATATATATATATTTAAATATATACATATATATATGTATATATATGTATATGTATATATATATATATATATATATATATATATATATATATATATATATATATATATATATATATATATATATATATATATATATATATATATACATATACATATTCATATGTATACTATATTTATCTGTATATGTATATATATATATATATATATATATATATATATATATATATATATATATATATATATATATATATATATATATATATATATATATATATATATAGAATACACAATCAGGATACACACATAGAACATTACTTTTTTATTTTTAGGTTCTTCCAAGTCAAAGACAAGGACAAAATCAAAAACTATACAGTGTTTGGGTTGTTCTTCATAAAAAAATTGGATATATTTTAACTGGCAATTGTAAATGCATGGCAGGGTAGGCATTGAATTAATAATTAAACCATTAATTGTGTGTGCGTGTGTGTGTGTTTATATATATATATATATATATATATATATATATATATATATATATATATATATATATATATTATATATATATATATATATATATATATATATATATATATATATATATATATATATATATATATATATATATATATATATATGTATATATATATATATATATATATATATATATATATATATATATATATATATATTTATATATATATATATATATATATATATATATATATATATATATATATATATATATATATATATTGAGAGAGAGTTTAAACATATAACATAGTTTATTAATGTTATTTAGACATATACTTTGAATACTATATAAATAAAATAAAGTATATTGAAATTTTGTTTCTCATTTCCATATTTTATTTTTAGTCTGGGATCTGTATGCAGCCATGTGGCTGCATTGCTGTTTAAGATCGAAGCATGCATTCGAACTGAAGTTCATAAGACTGCGGTGACTAGTAAATTGTGTCAATGGAACCAAATAAAAAGAAAAGCAGAAGCATCATCATTGCAAAATATATCTTTTAATAGACCAAAACTTAACGATTTACCAATTGAAAGGACATTGTCTAACAGTAATAGTAAAAATTATACTGTCAATGCAGAACAATCCATTATAAATTTAGGTGTAGATAAAGTCATAGAATTGCAAAAAATTATGCCTAAAGCAGCTTATTTTAACTATGTAAATGTTTTGGAACTTTCCTATGATACTGAGGGTACTTTAACATCTGATGAGAATGACGAAAATCCATGTCCAGAACCTCTTACAAGTCTATTTGATTATGAAGCAATCAATTTAGATAGTGCCACTCTCAAAGATATATGTAATTTAAAATATGAAGAATACAAATCAACTTACACTTCAAAATCATTTAATTTTTTATCTGAAAATACTAAACTGCAAAGTTTATCTAGTGCATGGAATATTCACAGAGCAGGCAGAATTACAGCATCTAATTTTTATGAAGTTATGCATTTTAAATATAAAAACTCAAGTAACTCGTTGCTTAATAAGTTAATGTGTTATACCAAAGCACCAAACACACCTTCTTTAACTTACGGCAGAGAAATGGAATGCAAAGCCAGGGAACACTATCAAACTATTATGAAAGAAAAACACAATGATTTTCAAGTGACAGCTACTGGCCTTCATATTTTATACAATAAGCCATATCTAGGAGCGTCCCCTGATTCTATAGTGAGCTGCTCTTGCCACAGTGATGGTTTGCTGGAAATTAAATGTCCATTTAATTATCGAAATGGTTTAGTTAACTGGGAAATGGATAATAATTTCCCTATTGACTCATCTGGAACCATGAAGAAAAATCACAAATATTATGCACAAGTTCAAGGTCAATTATATGTTCTAAATAAAGAATATTGTGATTTTTTTGTCTGGGCTCCAAATCATTATTTATTAATTCGAGTTACTAAAGACTTAGAGTTTATTGATGAAATGATGCCTTTGCTCTGGAAATATTTCATTGAATGTTTACTACCTGAAGTTGTTACACGCAAAAATGATGTATGTTTAGACAATAAGCAAAAGTATTACTGTACTTGTAAAAGACCCTGTTTTGAACCAATGATAGCTTGTGATAAACCAGGTTGTAAAGTTGAATGGTTTCATTATTCTTGTGTGAAAATTACACGGGCTCCAGTTGGTCCATGGATATGCAACAGTTGCTCAAAATGAAATTATATTCAATATGATTCTGCATTTTAACACTGTTACTTTGCTGTTTGTAAATCTGTACTCCAATAAGGTTTATCGATTGACTACGGTTCCGGCAACGTTTCACTATTTGCTAATGTCATTCATCTTGTAATCTAGATGATCACTGCTGTTTAGTTAGTTAAAAAAGAAAAGTTTTAAAAACGGTTATTTTCATAGCCACATGTTGTTAAAATCATTATTCTGCATTTGAATTTTCATTTTTTTTAAACGATTTATTTGAATAATTAGATAATTGTTTACCATAATTTTTAAATACCTTAACATATGTTACTTTTTTTTTTCTAATTAATTAAATTTAGTTTTAGTTTTTCTTTCAACCAATCTTTGTTTGAAATGAGTAAAAGAAGTTTATAGGATACCATATGTACTCCTATAATACTCTAGGTACCTCTTAACAAATAGTTTATTGTTTTATTTATTTATTTATTTTTATTCTTATTTTTTGGTATTACACATAAAGTTTTGAATTAAAATTGTTTTATGATTTATAGTTCCCATTGAGGTATGCCTTTGTTGTAACTGAATAAAAACAAAAACCGACAACATTTAAAATACTATTTAACAACAATGTTATAAAAATATTATTACATTTTCATAATACTAGTATTCAAGTTAATTATGCCAGAAATTATAACCATGATATGATCTAATAAATCTACTTGTGATATTGGAATGTTTGTAGATAAAATTTTAAATGTTTTTAATCTACCAATAACACGTTCAACGTGTATTCTAGCATGAGATATCTGCCTTGATATATCTACATCACGTGCTGACAATTGACTTTTTCCTCTAGTAAATGAAGGTATTCTTAGCACAGCTCCTTTTGTAGCTAATTCCTCTTCGATTAAAAATCCTCTATCTGCGAGAACGCAATCACCATGGATTATCTTGTCCAAAAATCCCGATTTTAGGGTTATTTCTTTGTCCGATACCCGCCCTCCCCATCCTGCAGATAAAAAACTTACTGTTCCAGCTGGTGCCATAGCAATTAAATATTTTATTGTGTTGTGTGACTTGTAGGTAGAGTAAGTCTGTGCTCTCGCTGTTAAATTTAATGGTCTTGCGATAAAAATTTCAGTGCAGTCAATTATGCAGCAACAGTTTTTAAAGTTTTTAAAGCATTTTGGTAAGTTAGCTCTCAGGAGATCTTTACTGGGCCATACTATAAGATTTTTCAAAACTTCAGATAATTTTGGTAACCATTTTCGGATTGTAAGAGATACATTTTCTTTTGTGATGTGAAACCTTATACTTAAATCATAGTTTGTAACACCAAGTCTAATTTTCATTAAAGTAAGCAATAAGTGATTTTCAAACGATAACGATTTCACAACTTGATTCACAGCCTGGTCTTTCATGAAAGACAGAATCCAATCAAATAATTCAAACTTTGGTAGACCTGTTAAAAAGTTAAGTTTTTTTTCAAATTTGATATTTTTATAATCCATTAACTTGCTCCTTAGAATTTTAACATTTCTTTTTGATTTAAATAACTCAATTCTATTTTTTTTCAATTTTTTTTTTAACAACGATATTATTATCTTTTGTTTAGATACGATGCGTTTAAGTTTAGAACAATGTGATTCTGTTTCTGTTTGTGTACCTGAAACGAAATAAAAGGTTAAGAAAAGCAATTTATAAAAAATAAATTTACTTTGAATTAAATAAATTTATATTGATCTAATATTATGCTCTGCATGATATATCATGGGTTTAAAATATTTGATTACCATAAAAATAAAAGGGGCATTTTGCACTAACTTATAACTAAAATAAATTATAACTAACTTATAACTAAAAAGATCAAAGGTCCTTGCGCCTCCCCCCTCCTTCTTCCTGAGATGGTACTTGGTAACAACAGTTCAACTCACAATAAACAATCATTTATATAGCACAGGCTATGTTTGCGGGGACGTAGAGGGTATGACCCCTCATTTAATTCCGAAGTTTGAACAAAGGAAAAAATATATAATCATTCGATAAAAAAATTTCATAGTGAAGTTAAACCTTTTTCGTTCGGTTCTTGGCAATCAAACGTTAATTCTGATGAACTTGATTCGAATAATACATTTTCACAATTATTTACATTGACAGGTTTCTTTGTGTTATAATTAGTGACATTATTTTTCTGTTTATTAGAACCACGTTGAAGACATCGCCGATATCGTTCAACAGATGCTTTTGATCTCCTTTCAGCAATTTTATGGAATGAAAATACTGATGGTACATAGTCTACATGAAGGGGATCATTAGATTTCTTTCCTAATAATAGAAAAAGCCATAGAATATTATATGTTAATATAAAAAACATACAAAGCACGCAAGTTCTTTCATACGCGTTATATATTGTATGGTGAGAATAAACAACATATGAAATTTCTTTTGTATAAAAAAAATTAAATTTTCGCTTCTAAATATCTAAATAAGTAACACACATAATGTGACATGAAAGTGTGCAAAGTAGTAACTAAATGCGATATTTAATTGGATTAGTAAAAATCCAAAATTTAAAAAATATCAACCTGTTACAAAGTGGGCACTACATATCCGAGCACTCTTAATTGCAGTTTCTGACCATTTTTCTCGTCTAATTGCGGCAATCCATCTTAATCTAAGTTGAGATTTTCGCTCTGTTTCCATTGTAGGTATCCGATAAAAACTTAAACCTTCATTTTGTGTGCTTCTTCGGTTGCTGCAACCAAATGCGCAACAAACATCTGGCATATTTGTTTTATTTTTAATAAAATACTAATGAAAACCTGGCACAAAATCTCAATATTAATATAATTGAGTCAACAAAAATAAAACTGTTGTCAAAATCATATAGCGGCTTTATAAAATTGAATGAACGTAAGGGTTGATTTAGTTTACTAAGTGTTTGCGTTATTCAATCAGGAATAAAGATAGTATTTTTCAATGGAAAACGATAAACTATTTGTTAAGAGGTACCTAGAGTATTATAGGAGTACATATGGTATCCTATAAACTTCTTTTACTCATTTCAAACAAAGATTGGTTGAAAGAAAAACTAAAACTAAATTTAATTAATTAGAAAAAAAAAAGTAACATATGTTAAGGTATTTAAAAATTATGGTAAACAATTATCTAATTATTCAAATAAATCGTTTAAAAAAAATGAAAATTCAAATGCAGAATAATGATTTTAACAACATGTGGCTATGAAAATAACCGTTTTTAAAACTTTTCTTTTTTAACTAACTAAACAGCAGTGATCATCTAGATTACAAGATGAATGACATTAGCAAATAGTGAAACGTTGCCGGAACCGTAGTCAATCGATAAACCTTATTGGAGTACAGATTTACAAACAGCAAAGTAACAGTGTTAAAATGCAGAATCATATTGAATATAATTTCATTTTGAGCAACTGTTGCATATCCATGGACCAACTGGAGCCCGTGTAATTTTCACACAAGAATAATGAAACCATTCAACTTTACAACCTGGTTTATCACAAGCTATCATTGGTTCAAAACAGGGTCTTTTACAAGTACAGTAATACTTTTGCTTATTGTCTAAACATACATCATTTTTGCGTGTAACAACTTCAGGTAGTAAACATTCAATGAAATATTTCCAGAGCAAAGACATCATTTCATCAATAAACTCTAAGTCTTTAGTAACTCGAATTAATAAATAATGATTTGGAGCCCAGACAAAAAAATCACAATATTCTTTATTTAGAACATATAATTGACCTTGAACTTGTGCATAATATTTGTGATTTTTCTTCATGGTTACAGATGAGTCAATAGGGAAATTATTATCCATTTCCCAGTTAACTAAACCATTTCGATAATTAAATGGACATTTAATTTCCAGCAAACCATCACTGTGGCAAGAGCAGCTCACTATAGAATCAGGGGACGCTCCTAGATATGGCTTATTGTATAAAATATGAAGGCCAGTAGCTGTCACTTGAAAATCATTGTGTTTTTCTTTCATAATAGTTTGATAGTGTTCCCTGGCTTTGCATTCCATTTCTCTGCCGTAAGTTAAAGAAGGTGTGTTTGGTGCTTT